TATAATTTTTTGGGCAATTACATCAAAACACAAGCCCAAGTACTAATAAAACATCCAAATGTATGATAAAGATCTTAAAACCTTACATATCCTTATGAGAGATGTTTCTTGAATTTCAACAGCTCATATTTCACGATCGGACCCTCCAAACAACCCTAAATTTTACATGAAGTATTAATATACTTTCAAAAACTTCCACAAAAAAAAATCAACTACAAATTCGTTACGAATCTTGAGATATTGTCAAAATCCTAACAAAACCCTAACAAAATCCTAACAGTACCTTTAAACCCTAGCTTACATACACCCATGTGCTAATTTCTTCATATCTCACAAAATAAGTACTCAAATATCATGAAACTTTGCTCTATAGCTTCTTAACTTAATAACTCACATTTATAGAAATTTTGAGCCAAAAATTCGTCCAAAAACTTAAGATATGGCTCCAACCATTACTATCAACAAAATGACTCACTTACTGCCTTTGAATTACATGTGCTGTCTTCAAATGTCTATAACTCCTTCATCTAGACTTGAAATTTGTCAAAAAATATATGTAAAGTATAGCCAAGAAAGTTTCCTCTCTAGTTCCAGTTGCCGATCTTTCATTGCTTTCTGTACCCATATGTTATGCTTCAAAGAGTGACAATAGATACAAATTTGACACCTTAACTTTGAACACCTATATTTCCTTCACAAAAACTTGAAATCACACAAACTTTTCACCCAAATTATACCCAAAACCCTGAACTTATTTACTCTAGCCTCCAAAGCTCAAATGACTTCGAAAAAAAAACCCTAATTTCTAATAAGGCTTCGGGCAGCCTCCTTGAAGCCTATTGGACATGGCCTTCGACCAATAGGAATGAAGTTTTCCATTCTTTGCCTTCATCCAATCATGCCTTGCTTTCATCCCTCCCAATAAGCCTTCTATTAGTTAAAGTTTTCTTCTTTAGGCTCTAATCTCCTCTCAAGGACTTTATACTAAATATTTAGGTTTTATAAAAAAAAAATTGAAATGTAATAACTAAAAAGTTAAACTCAAAATAAAGTTTCTTAAATCCACTCTCTTTAAATTAATCTATTTAACCATTCTAACATACACCAAGACTTATGAACATATTATATGTTCTAACTAATTTTTACATATTATAAGCTTTTACAGTACGATAACGTATGGATCGAATAGAAATCAATCTAATTGACAAATTTGAGCATTCAATAACTTTCAAAGTTCCAATTTTAATTAGCAGTCTGCATCAAATCTCCAGAACTATGGTAAGGAGTAGCAGAGGTATTAGCAATATGCTCCACTACTGTCATCGAACCAAGTACCCTCCGTACCAATGGAATAATCAGAATCATTTTCTAATCCTACATGGAATAAGCCTAATAATTATACACCGGTGGAGATATCCAATATGCCTAATAGGGGTGCAAAAAGTCCACTTTGTTGTTTCTATTGCAGACAGATTGGTCATTATGTTAGTAAATGTCCCAATCCCAGAGCTAGTGACGATTATGTACCAGTGTGTGGGAATTATAAGCAAGCAGTTGGGGCATATTTATCAACAATGTAATGCTCCATTCAATATCAATAATCAGAATCAACAGATTCAAAGCCAAGAAAAAATTGAGGAAATAAATCAAGGTCCTCAAGATTCTTCGATAAATTCGGTGGAATGTGTCCAAGCCGTTCTTATCAGGAATCAACAAAAGAAAAAATGACAAATTCAATATTTGGTTGAGCTTGATGTGAAGGGCCAATTTGACCCAATTACGGGGACATCCAATCTAGATCCTGTTACGGGCCTCTTATCTAGTATGAGACTTGTCTTGATTGGGTAACCTAATGAGGTCCCGATTACAGAGGCTTTGGTTTCATTTCGAGAGGTTCCATTCTCTATGCAATTTTGAAAAACGTCCTATCCATTGAAAGATCCTCTCAAAGGTACAAATTCCAAGGAAGCTCAGGCTATTGTTTCAATTTCAAGTCTAGGGTGGAAGAATATCTTACCTCTCGGAGTTAAATTCAACCCAATGAAAAGAAAGAAGGCATTGAGAATTACCTTAAATATGGAATCCTTTGATATTTTGAAGGATCTGGATGCTATTCAGCCTTCTATTTCTATGAAGCAACTTCTAGCGGTCACACCAGAATGCCGTTTTATATTGAATTCATCATTGACATGGCATAGGCAACGTAATAAGGGAGTTTGTGAAGTCAGTTTGAACCTTGATCTAGGTGCACCAACCATCGATGTTTCAATTGACGGTGTTATGCTCTTCAATGTTCAAGTGGATGGTGGTTCTAGCGTCAATTTAATGAACACTGATACAATAGATGCTTTAGATTTGGAACACTTAGTATCCACAATATAGGTGTTAACGATGGTAGATCATAGGCGGGTTAAACCAATGGATATTTTACGGAGTGTTCAAACTATAATTATCGATATTACATATAAAATCGACTACATTGTCTTTCAATTACATCATTCAACTTTATTGTATTCAATTTTATTGGGACGACCTTGACTTTATCAAGCGAAGGCTAAGAACAATTGGGATTGGAATACTTTGACAATTAGCAAAGACGGAGATAAAATGGTGTTATAAATGTACCCAATACACTATCATGGGGAGTCTCAATTGTCAGCATCTAAATTGACGTCGGACAATAAGCTTAGCTTCAATGATGATGTAGTAGTACTAATTATAAAGGTGCCCGTGGAAGCAGCCCAACACCCTGGAGTGGTGTACGAATGTGGAGGTCTGGGGGAGTACTTGATATACCTGTTGGATTCGGAAATCTCTGCTAAAGTTAATATTAGTTGGATGACTAAGTGTGATGTGCACCATATGAGTGCCCTAGACATAGGATTCAGTACTTCGTACATGTTAGACTTCTTGACTGATTTTAAACTAGCACAAGAGTTGAAACAAAACATCGTTGTTACATCTATATGTCAAACTATCAACTTGGGGACCACAGCAGAGTCTTAGACAATTAAGGTCTACAAAGGTATTAAGGAACATGAGTTGACCTACTGAACAAAATTTTTCTTGTATCAAAAATCAGCTTTTGCTTGGACTTATGATGATCTAAAAGGTATCCCCGTTGAAGTCTGTGAGCATCGTATCATTTTAGAGAGGAACACTAAACCAGTATGGTAGAGGCAAAATCGCCTTAATCCTCAATATTTTCTCATGGTGAAGGAGGAATTGCACAAGCTTCTTGCGGTTGGTTTTATTTATTCGATACCGAATAGTGAGTGGATTTTTTCAATCATAATGGTACCGAAAAAGAACAAAAAAATCCAAATTTGTCAAGATTTTTAGAAACTTAATGCAGCCACCAAGAAAGATTACTTCCCATTACCTTTCACAGATAGTATATTAGATGCCATAGTAGCTCACGAATGTTATTTGTTCTTCGATGGATTTTTCATGTATAATCAAGTTCAAATTGCACCAGAAGATCAGCTCAAGACAACCTTTACTACAGATTGAGCCACATTTGCTTATCGTGTGATCCCTTCTGGGTTATACAACGCCCCAGCCATGTTTCAGAGAGTGATGACTCAAGCCTTCCAAGACTATCTCCAGATGTTTATGGACATCTTTTTAGATGACTTTTGTGCATTTAGTACAAAACAAGATCATCTTAATTGTCTAGGTAAATATTTGGCTCAGTGCGCTAAGTTTGGAATATCATTGAACTCAAAGAAGTGTCAATTTTATATTTTGTCTAGAAAATTATTGAAACATATTGTCTCTAGCCGTGGTATTGCTATAGATCCTAACAAAGTACAACATATAATGAACTTGTCCAAACTAGAGACGATCTTCGGTATTCGAGGATTTATTGGCCATGTCAGTTATTATCGCCGCTTTATTCATTTGTTTGTAGTTATTTGTCAACCTTTAACGAATTTACTAAAAAAAACCTCTGTTAGATGGGACTAGTTTCCTTTGGACCATGGAATGTACCATGGCCTTTGAGGCATTAAAGTCAAAATTGATCTCTACAGTAATATTGGTGGCACCTCATTGGATGGAGCATTTCTATGTATATGTTGATGCATCCAATGTGGCTATTGGATCGGTGTTAAATCAGAAGGATGACCAAGATTTGGATCATCCTATCTATTATACTAGTCGACAATTGATAGCTACCAAACACAATTATACTACTACTGAACGCAAAGCGTTGGGTATGATATACTGTAATCGTTGTTTGACTCGGACTCAAAACACCAAGATATTTGATCAGTATATGTGGGTTCGATCTCGGGGAAAGACTCATTGTATGAATTGGATATGTTATGTCACAATTGATTATATATTAATTATCTAAAACTTCCAAAGTTCTCTTCCTCATCTCAATTCAATCCCTTGACAATCTCTACAATCGTTCACTGCCCTGCAGCTACTAAATATCACTGACATTCCTGACATCTACAGGATGCTTAATCTCTTTCCACAGTACTTCAATTCTCAATTCCTTTACTTTTACTCAATCTTCCAGTGCTACTAACACAATGCAATAATCTCTATTATCACAATCACACTTTCTTTCTCCAAATTAATTAATTCGAATTCATAATTTTCAATATCTCAATCACAGTTTTAGCAATCTTTTTCTTAAATCCTATATTAAAGAAAAATACAAAAGCAAAGAAAACAAAAGGGTAGCTCCAAGCTTTACCCTGGCTCACGACTATCACAGTCTGGCCTCCATTCTTTCTTCCTCAACCTCTTTATCCTACCAAAATATGAATCGTCATTCAGCACATTCCACAGGTTGTGAAACTTTGGCTTCTTAATCGCATATGTTCCTAACTTCCTACTATTAACAACTAATCGAACTAATCATTTATCTAAATTCCAACATTACTACTATTTAACCGATAACGAACCAAAAAAGTCATTTATACATTCTACATAGCCCCACTTCTTACTGTGCAGCGTCCTCGCAAACCACCTCGTACTACATTTTACAATATCACCACATCATTGGCTTCCTCCAATGTCTGAACCTCTGGTCCGCCTTGGTCCATTTCATCATTTCCATAAGTGAGATTGGTTTCGACTTCTTGAGCTTCTTTTCCAACTCCCTCTCTCACCTGCTCTGCATTCAATAAAGCTGTCAAGTCCTCGTTAAGTGCTCCCAATTCCCGAACCTCAGACTCCAAAAGCGCAATTTGGGTGTCTCGCTCTTTCAGCTGCTCCTCCAGGGCATGCACCTGTTTCTCTAATTCCCATAAAGATGTACTTGCTGGATTGACCTCTCCTTGCTGCGTGGTAACTGTAATCATTTCTGCCTCCAATTCGGCAATCCTTTTCTTCAATTGCTCGTTCTCCATCTTTGAGCTTTCCGATTGTCTCCAAAAATCGTCCTCCAATTTGGATCTCTTGGCTTCCAATTCCGCCACCTTATTCTTGTCCTCTTGGTATTGGTTCCGCAACTCCATACACTCCTGCTTGGTAAGCTCCATCAGACTCTTTGCCAACTTGTTCTCCTTGGCCCATTCCGCTTGGGTCTCCTTGAATTGGTGCTCTAATCTTGAATATTTGAGAGCGTCCATTACTGAAGCACATTGTAAATCTCCAATCTTCTTCTTCTGATCCTCAATGATCTTGTCCTTCTCCTCCAGTACCTGTCTAAGGCTGAATTCATTGCCCATTTTTTCAACGGCCATCTGTAATTGAGTAATTTGTGCCGAGATTAACTCTTTGAGTTCTCTTGCCTGCTGGCCAGCTCCCGATAAATCCACCCGTTGATAATACTCTACCAGTACTGGTGGAGTGACGGCCATATTGGTACTAGGACGACCCAATTCTCTAGATGACGAGCTGACATTGGTCTGTTCGTAATTTCTAGCTTGGCTGCACTCTGCTATCGCCGCTTCCTTGACTTGTTTTGATAGCAATGGCGTTGACTCTACTCTTGTCTCTGTTGCTACAGCGTCTAGTCTCTCCACCATTGAAGGTTGCTTCAGTTGATATCTAATTGCTTTACACACGTAGTTGGAGCATAACATCGTGGTAACCTTCCCTGTTCTTCTTTTCACATCCAATTCTGCATGGATTCTGGTCGCAACATACGCTGCCCAGTTGAAGACCATCCCCTCCAGCGTCGCAATTGCTGAAAATAATAACCTCCTTGCCATATATGTTGAATGTCGGTTCAGCCCTAATCGCTTCTGCACAAACCGCATCCATTCTCCCAGCTCTGGCGTAAGCACATCCGTTGTCTTCTACCCTTGATTTTTCTCAAACGCTTTGTTTCCCGACTTGAAGTACTTGCTTGGAACAAAATCAGACTCCAAGTCTCTCGATACCGGTAGCTCATCCATGGGAAGATATAGAACCTTGTTCAACGTCACCTCATCTATACCAATAATTCTCCCATGAACCACACTGGACCCGTCTTCCGGATCATAATTCGTCACATATTCCGTTAACAATGCTATATCTATTGGTGGTAGCCTTTGCGAAAACTTCAGAAACCCATACATCTGCGCCGTGCAAAACTCTCTCTGTCTCCTTTAAGACCAAAAAATGTCCATAGCAACCAGCTCCATGCTGGTCACTATCACGCACTCCATTGGTGGCAATGCTTCCTTTGTCTTGATATTATGCTGTCGCTCCTCTCTTGTAGCTGTCCTCTTCTTACGCTCAATCACCATCTTCGTTACTCACGATAATCCTCTAAAACCTGTGCTTAGCAACGTGAATCAAGAAATTACAATGTAAACAATGCCAGCCAAGAGCCCCACTCCTAACTTCTACCCTGGTTCTCCTCCTGATATGACTTAACCTAACAGGCCTATAACAACCTATCCTATTAGTGTCTTCCTGACGGCTCACCTTCACTCAACCCGTCCATAATCTCATCATCACACGCTCTTCCCTTCCCATCACAACTCTTGCACTGTCACTTCAATACTAAATTGGCTTTCTCTCTCCCCCCCCCATCGATATAAAACCCGTCCCGAGTTTATGTAGCATACAGACGTAGCCGATTCCCATTTATACACGTGGTAAATTTAGCACCCATAAAGTCTTCCAATTGGACTGAGCCATTGGAAAAACCCTCAATGACTCTGTACGGCCCATGCCACCAAATATGAAATTTTCCTGGAAAATTTTTAAAACGACTGTCATAAAGCAGTACCAAATCATTGAGCATAAAAAATTTTGGTTTTAATTTACTATCATAATAACTTTTCCGTCGCCTTTGAGTGGCCTCCTGTCTCAATAGGGCATTGGTTCGAGTTTCATCCAACTGCTCCAATTGTGCAAAACGAACTTGTAACGACTCCGTATCCCCCAATCGTTCCTCCAGTGCAATGTGCAAACTTTGAACTTTGAATTCGATAGGTAATATTGCTTCTTGACCATAAACTAATTGAAAGGGTGTGGCATTAGTCGTAACTTTATATGCAGTACGGTATGCCCACAAAGCAGTAAACAATTTAGTGTCCCAATCCGTGCCTGTACCAAATATTGTCTTGGTGATAATTGTACATAATATGCCGTTGATCTTTTCTGTTTGGCCATTTGCTCTGGGATGATACGGTGTCGTCTTGCGGTGTTTAATCTCATATTTAGCAGTCAATGCTTCAATTGTATTATTAATGAAATGGGTTCCTCGATCACTGACCAATTCTTTTGGACAGCCAAACCGTGTAATAATATTTTCATATAAGAATGTGGCTACATCACTAGCACTATCAGATTTTGTTGCCTTTGCTTCAGCCCATTTGGTAACATAGTCCGTGGGAACCAATATATACCGTTTTTGTCCATGGCGAGAGATAGGTGCAATTGGGCCCACGAAATCAATACCCCATTTTTCAAAAGGTGCCTGTGCCAGAATTGGAACTAACGGCATCGCGGATGTACCCATAGGACGACCAATTCGCTGGCACGGATCACAACAACGTGCAAACTAGTGAGCATCCGTAAACAGTGTCGGCCACCAATATCCCGCCTGTAAAACTTTGCGTGCTGTGCTGTCGCCTGTAAAATGTCCACCACAACTATCCAAATTATATCCTTCCAATATAGTGCGTGCTTCATTCTGGTAAACGCAACGACGTAAAATTCTGTCTTTCCCTTGTTTATATAAAGTTTCTCCAATCATAGTATAAGGTGCGCTTTTCAAAACCAATCTTCTCTTGAGCTTCTCCGTAAAATGGAAAGGAAAAGTTTGAAAAGTCAAATACAGTATCAATTCGCTATATTCCGGCATAATTAGGTCGACAAGAAATAACTCAGCGTCAGGTAATGCATCAAGAATGGGTTCATTTCCCAATATATTGGACAGTCACGATAGATGGTCCGCATTGGCATGCGACTTCCCCGGCCGTACATTAATAGTAAAATCAAATTCTTATAAAAGCAATACCCATCTTGCGATGCGGCCACTCAACTGGGGCTTGTTAATCATATATTTTAAAGCGTCATGATCCACGTGGAAGACAAATTTATATCCAAGAAGATAATGTCAAAACTTTTGGACAGAATAAATCATTCCCAAAGCCTCTCGCTCAATTGTAGTGTAATTCTGTTCGGCAGCCACCAACTGACGGCTTGCATAATAAATAGGATGATTGTGGCCCTTGTCATCCTTCTAGCTCAATACCAAACCAATCGCAATATTAGAGGCATCAACATAAACGTCAAAAGATTTTGTCCAACAAGGGGCAACCAATATTGGTGCAGAAACCAATTTTTGTTTTAATGTTTCAAACGCAACTGTACATTCCTTGGTCCAAATTGGTTCGAGGCTGTTCGGTAGTTGCTTTTTTAACAAATTTGTCAATGGAATACAGATAACAGCAAATAGATAAATAAAACGTCGATAATAGCTAACATGCCCAATAAAGGTGCGAACACCTGTCACTATATCGGGTATTTGGAGTTCTAGTATAATTTTTATTTTATCCGGATCGGTGGCGATACCTGTTTCCGATACGATATGACCCAATAATTTTCCTGAGGGTACCCCAAATTTACATTTTTTTGAATTCAAAGAAATTCCAAATTTAGCACATTTGCCTAAGCACCGGCCCAATTTGTCTAAGTGTTCTTCTCTAGTGCTGAATGTGCAGAAATCATCTAAAAAGATTTCCATTGAAACCCGTAGCTCATCTTGGAATGCTTGCATCATCACCCTCTGAAATGTAGCTGGCGCATTATAAAGTCCGAAAGGCATGACCTTATAAGCAAAAGTTCCCCAATCTGTAGTAAACGTAGTCTTTAATTGATCCTCCTTTGCAATTTGTACCTGATTATATCCGAAAAAACCATCAAGAAACGAATAACATTCGTGGCCTGCTACTGCATCTAAGATACTATCCGTAAATGGTAAAGAAAAGTAATCCTTCTTTGTAGCAGCATTCAACTTTCGAAAATCTTGGCAAATTCGGACTTTTCCGTTCTTCTTGGGAACCATAACTATCGACAAAACCCATTCACTATGTAGTACAAGATATATAAATCCCACCTCCAGAAGCTTATCCAATTCCTTCTTTACCATCAACGAACATTTAGGATTTAGTCGATGTTGCCTTTGTCGTACTGGTGTAGCCGTGTCCTCCAATTTTATTCGATGCTCACAAACTTCAGCTGGAATATCCTTCAAATCTTTATAAGACCAAGCAAAAGCTGATTTATGTTTTATAAAATAATCTGTCCAAAGCTCTTTAGTTTTACCCGTTATACCATCATAAATTTGAATCAATTTGGGATTATCCTTTGTGCCTAGATTTATTGATTGACACTTTGGTCCATTAAGAGCTTCAGCGGTAATCTTGTGCTCTGTTTTGGGATCTTTCATAAACTCCGACAAATTGGAGCTTTCCAATTCGAGATCTATAGCACCAACTTGATTAACATCTCTTCGCTGCATCCAGTGTGCAATCATATGATCTGAATCATCAATAACGTCTGGAGGAACAAAATATTCTCCTGGTCCTCCACAATGGTAAATATTCCTATTTTGTACTACAACTTCCCGTGCCTCGACAGCCTTTGATTTTGAAACAACCAATTCTTCTTCCGTATACTCCTGTTCGCAGTCCGATGTATATTCTGGACTTGCAATTTGAGTTTCTCCATGATACTGGACAGGATACATTTGGAGCACTATTTTATCCTTACCCTTTCCAATTGTTAGCGTTCCACGACCCCAATCGTTCCGAGCTTCAGCTTGATATAGCCACGGTCGATCCAACAAAATTGGATATGACAATACTATGCTTTGCAATCGGAATACAATATAATCAATTGTGTATGTAATCCCCACAACAACTGTATCAATTCCTCGTAAAGTACCCATAGGTCGGACTCGACTTGAATCTGCCATTCGCAAAACAACCGTAGTTGGCATTAATTGGTCCAATCCCAATTCTTCCATTGTATTCACATTCATGAGGTTAACACTAGCCCCGCCATCCACTTGTACATCCTGAACTAATACTCCATCAATTGATACATGAATAGTCGGCGCGCCTGGATCCGGATTCAAACTTACTTCACGAATTTCTTTTTGACGACTTCTTCGTCGAATCAAAGAAGAGTTTAAGATATTACGGCATTCTGGTGCTACTGCCAATAATTACTTTATTGTGATTGTTGGTTGAATTGAACCTAAATCCTTCAGAATATCATAGGGTTCCATATTGGTCATGATTCCCAATGTCTTTTTTTTCTTACGGATTTCGGATCCCGGTCCCCGTATATTGGTACTTCCAATATCAGGAATTGGTACTTCCTCGATTTCTGGTTGCAACTGCTCCTTGAATATTGGATCCTTTAACTGGTGCGACTGTCCACCGTATTGGTGTAATATTGGTACTTGTGAAATTGGTGGACGCACCAATATATTGGTCGAATTGGGTTGTGACGGTGACGCTTCGTCCAATAATGGAGCAGATTTTGGTATTGATCTGTTGACCAGGGCTGGTTTCGATTTCTCCAATATTTGAATTAGTTCTTTGCCTTTTTGCTGATTTCTTGTCAATATTGCGTGAATCGCTTCCACCCGATGTACCGGTGATTCCTGTGGTTTGTTTGTTTTTTCTATAATTTGCACTGTTGATGTCATGTACTGGTCCCTACTATTTGGATTAAAAGGCATATTACATTGGTAGTGGTAATGACCAGATTGCTTACAATTTGTGCAAAGAGGTGCGTATTCTTCAACAAA